ACTGGAGCTCCAAGCAGCTGTTCTAACCTTCATGGGAGCCAACACATTTTGCCCAAGTCTGACACACAAGCTCAGATACAGTTGATCATCCAGGGAAACCACCTGAGTTGGAAGTGCACCCCAGAGCCTCTGTCAGAGGTGCAGACTTGGTTGTTCCTTCTGAACACCATGAAAGGGCAGTGCATGATAACAGCCACCAGTAGAGCAGGAGATCTGAGACAGAAGACAGAAAGCTCCATCTGTCATGGTCTCTGCTACAACTTGCCTATCACAGATGTGACTGCTCTCACACCCAGCAACGTTCTCCTGAAAGATTCCTTCCTGCCTTTCCAATAGACCAGGACTCCACCACCCTTAGAGTGGGATACCCTATTAAACCTGTGGGTGATACCCAAAACTCACCATCACCATGGAGTGAAAATTTTGTACCTTACCATTGTCTCCTACTCTTTGGACAGAGCAAGACCGTTCAGGTTCCCAGGCTGATTTAGGTGTTGGCCTGTTACAGAGCTCGGTGTGCAGCACACACAGGTCACCAGACTGGGACATCAGCACACCCAGCCATGGTGATGCAGGTGGAAACCCATTCCCCTGAGGCTTGGGTGCAATCCCTCCCTGATCTTGCTAAACAGATCACCCCTTCAGCCAGTGCTGCCACAAATCCCCGTGTGTTTGCCTCACCCTGTTAAGGACCCATCAAACACCTGCTGACGTGACACCAGATGGCTGCTGGTGCACCACCAATAGGGAACACAAGTGAGAAAATGTTTGGCCACACAGCTTCTTTCCTGAAATCTTTTGAGGTGCCAACTCTTGCAATGTTCAAAATTGTGTATTTAAGATTCAGAAAAATTCAGTGACCAGCTTGTATAACCTTTTCTTTTCTTCTTCCTTCAGGTTGAACACTCACTTTAAAAGAGCTTACCAGTAATCCTAAATTAGGATACCTTTCCAAGGCAGTTTCAGACCTTTCTTTCTACTCACCTGTGAAAACTTATACTCAGAGTAATTACACATCAGTGTATATGTACCTATCTTGATAGTAATAATTGATTTTAAAAAAACGAAACTGGATTATTATTAGGTTTAGTAGCAGTAGTGGAGGTAGTAGCATAATTCACTTATTTCCAAGAAAAACTCAACCAACATCCTCCAGAGGCCAGAAGACAGTTCCCTCTATTCAAGTACTGCTTTGAAGATCACTGGCAGGGATCACAAGAGCCACAAGAGGTCCTAAGTCAAAAAAGATGCTTTCTGCTTCTTTGTGCCTTTTTGCCATCTTACATATTAGAAACCCTTATTTTCATCAGATCTGTATTTCACACATGTGGAGATGGTAAGCATGATAAATTGGAGGACCAGGATGATAAATGATCATTCTCTCTGTCAGCCACACTTCTGCCCATCTAAGACTTGAAAAATGCTAAATGCTGCAATATCTTTGCAGAGATGCCCAGGGCTAGACAGGCAAGATTCACTGTTGGTCTGCTTGTACCACATGAAAAATGCCTTTATTTTCAGGCTGGTTACCTTGAGGACCTTTTATTATCACTGACATTTCTTTCCTTTATCATCTCCTCATCCTCCAAAAAGGGAGATGCATGAGAAGATAATTGGGTTTATTCTCATACAGTTTGTACTTCTATGTGAGACAAACTTTCTGAAATGTGTTTACACAAAATTTCATTATGGACGTGACAGATTCTGGTCACTAAGAGCTTAATAAATATACAATAATCAATAGTATTAATAATTAATGCCATAGTAGAACCTTCTCCAGGATCTCACTGATAGATAATAGGTTTAGGTAGAAGTTTTAAAAGCATTCCACTACAGAGCTCTCCTTCTGCAAACATCAAACCTCATGACTGCATTGGAAATGAAAGACAAAACGCATAAAATAAATAATCTCCAATGTGCTTTCTACTGTGTTTATCAACAGAAGTGTATTCATATTGGCAATCCTAGTTGTCTGGAATGACTAATAAAAGTAGCAAGTGTCTCATCCATCTCAATTTGTTGTTTTCAACTCCTGTTGTCATAATTTAGTGCTTATGCAAACTCTGGCATAGCACAAGAGGCCTATCACAAGGCAGAGACTCCTCTGCACTGTTGTTACATGCAAATACACTAGTATAACCTCTGGAAAAAAAAATAATAAATCCATTAGACATAACTACAAGAAGTTTGACACAAATGCTTTTTTCACATGTTTTGAGCAGAGCTTCTCCATTCAGCCAAGAATTTAAGAACCTAGTTTGGGTTGAAGCACATCCTCTCACCCTTCAAGCTTGGTTTTTTGTGTTTTTTTGTTTGTTTGTTTGTCTGTTAAATGAAAATGTGGGTAATAAAAGTAAAAAGAGACATGAAGCTATAATGTGGTCACCCAGGAACCTGGAACTATTCTTTAACCTAAGAGTAAAAGGCAAATGAACAGTGTATTCCAGGGTTAGATTTATCAGAAGTTCAGTTTCCCTAAATAATTGTAATACCTGATATTTATGGCAGCCACAAACTTCTTGACATTGCTAAGAAAAATGATTAGTACCATGGAAGACAAATTTTACCCTGATGAATTCAGTAAAATAGCATAGTACTAGCATTTCACAGGAAATGTCATTAGTGTCTTCAGGAAAGCAACCACAAAAGGCCTTTCAACTACGCCCAGAAGAGACAGATGTTTTAATCAGTGATACAAGCACATTTATCAAATTTTTTTTCTTCTAAGCTTTTGTCAACTTAAAAACCACAGGAATCTGTGGCACCAATAACAGCAAGAAGGCTGGGAAAATGTAGAAAGTTAAATTTTTTTTTGTTGTTCCTTGTAAAAGTTTACAGCAATTCCTGCCCTGGATTATTTTACTGAACTTGTGAGGATGCACCCACAGTTCATTGATTTCCTGGGGATTCTAGGGCTGTTAAAGGAGTGTGAGAAACAGCTCCTATGGAAAAATGTGGCAAAATAAAAAACAAACAAACAAATCAATCGGGGATTATTACACTGATGTGTAATTTAAAGATCCTTAAGGCGTGGCAGTGGTAAAGCTCAGTGTCTCCATCATAATTCTGCCTATAAAATTAAGACCAGATTCTGATCTAATATGCAATATCCAGTATCTCCACTGACATCAACTATGTACTTCTAAGAAAATAAATACTTTTTTTTTTTTTTTTTAAAGTAGTTTACACTTCAACAAGTGTAAAGCAAGTGTCTCACTGAAAGGAAACAAGAGACATCATAACAAATACATTTCATCAGGTCTGAACAAATACATTTCATCAGGTCCGTGTAAGAGTTCATGATTTCAAACTTATGATACTTGAATACTCACTAGTTAGAATATGGTTCTGAGTTATTCAAGATGTGAGATTCTCTGCTAGAAAATAAACTGTAACACTTCTGAAAAGACCAGCTACTTACGCCTCATAACAACTGTCATTTTGCAAAAATTGAGGGCCAAATCCACCTCTGATGATGTCAGCAGAATAAAGGCAGAACCTGTGGAATCACAGCTGTATGGTATGAAACCATTAAAAACAGTACTTCTATAGAAAATAAAACATTTCAAACATTTCTATTGGGAAAATGTACAGCTATACACCTAAGTTATCCAAATGTGCAGAGCTGCAAAAATATTCAAATGGAAGTTGCATAAAAAGTAAAAATTGCCATGAAGAAAAGAAATTTAGCCCTTTGGATAAAGTCATGCTCCTTCCCTTCAATTTGCTCTTCTTTAGTTTTCAAGGTTAAATTTAGAAATTAGTCACCACGCTGAACAAAGTACGTAGATTTTCATTTAAATAAATCAGTCAACAATTTTTTTATAAAGTATTTAACACTTCATTGTAGAAACATAGGCAAAATGACTATTATAACCAAAATGAAAAATACTGTTCAATTTAAAAAAATGTACTTAAACAAGAACCTGAAAAAGTTTATGATATGCATAACATTGTTCAAGCAAAATTGCACTAGTATTACATAAATCAAGAGTTTTATAAAGGCCCCAATATGGCAAAGTTTAGAAATAGGTAGTATGCATGCACAATAGTACAACAAAAATCTTTTATAAAACAGCAGTTATTTCTGTAATGCTTGTACAAAGGGAATAAAGAGCAACCACAAACATATTTAATGTTAGGTTAATATATTATGATAGCTAAAAGTCAGTCAGGTCTAGCAGAGGAAGAAAGAGTCCTCCACAGTATAAGTGTGAATAAGTTTTTTGTGCCTTTAAAGTTATGTATAAAATATTTTGATTCAGTTCAAACCTGAACGAAATTGTATTCTTTATTTCCATCAAAATTAAAAAAAAGGTGAGTCAGATCTTTCCTCTTAGCAACAACAGAAAGCAGACCAGGTCAGAGCAAGAGCTGGAATCTAATACTGATGCTTTTCACTTTTGATCCTTGGATTTTGGTACTTAACCCAGGCTACTGAAACTCGGACTTAGGGAAGGGTTCACTAATATGCAATTTGGTCATGTTTAACCTCAGCAATATCACAGTTTACCTTCCTTTGAAGAAACTGCTGTGTCTTGTACTCTTTGAATACCTCTGAGAAGGTATGACTTCTTTGTGATTGTCAAAACTGAATGCTGTGATCATCTCTGTGTGCTTCAGGTTTGGGGTTTGTTTATTTCCCTACTGCTTGGCGTGTGTTGGGGAATTATTAATCCATAAGGAATGCATGTGATTAAGTGAATAAACGTAAAATGCATGTGTAGGCAATGCCCTCTTGTGCTCTAGGGTGGCTACTGTCCTACAGGACTGTTGGAGTTCATATGCTTTGTCCCACAGCAAGTAAGGTTTCAGCTTCCAAGATATATCGTTACTATGTTCTATAAGGTTTTAATAAATACAAAGCTTGTTTACATGGTATATATGTTTAGTATATCATGTACAGTCACTGAATTTCTGAAACATAATCATTGTGTTCATGCAGATCATTAGATGTTTCACTTCTATAGTCTTGTTTACTTCTTGGCAACCTAAAGCTAATTTAAAAGCAAGTTATGTTTGTTTGTGAAAAGTTATCTAGCTTTATCAGGATCTGAAGAGAAATTCTAATGGGCACAAAGAAGAGCGTAGACCATTCAATCATTCTTTCACCATTTAAAATAAACAAAATTACACACTGTACTACAGCTTCCAGACTACATAATGAAAAAGTGCAGATACCATCTTCATTGATTAAGTAGAACCAAAAAAGTTCATAGAAAATAGATTGCTCATTTTCACGCTACAAACGAATACGTTGTTTGCGATTTTAACAAATTTAAAGGTGTGTTATTTCAGCAGCATTGTTGTAAATTGTACCGTAGTGCAGTTTCTTTTTCATAAAAATACCTTACAAATGGTCAGTCAAAAGTCATCAGCAAAAGAAAAACCCAGAAAACAATCAACCAAACAAAAAACAGAGGTAATGCTGATGCCAAAACAATTATAATACTGTTGGTACATAGAAAAGTAATCCTTATATTTTATACATTTATACAGAGTATAAAAGGTTACAGCAGATTATGCCACAGTCTCCCTTATCCCAATATCTATTTTCTTTGGAAGGAGTTCTCTTCTTTCATCAACACTTGCTAAGGAGTTTCGACAGTTTTGTCCATCCATGTATAACTTTGCATACACTGGATTGGCGTAATTTGTTGGCTGCAGAGAAATTAAGCATCCATTAGATCAGTTGGATTAAACCAAAAGAAATGTTCATGAAAATGGAAATGGTTTTGTTAAAGCCAGAACAAGTACACATAAAATACAGTCAGACATATTTAATAGATACCTGGACTTCTGCAAACCTGATAACGTGTTAATTATTTAGTTACAAGTTAAATTCATGATGAAACATGCTCTTTAAAATAATTGATGGCATGACATGCAGCATATTATGATATTAAAACCATAAAAGCAATGACAAAAACTGAAACAAAAACCTGAAAAATGTCTCTGAAGTTGACTTGTCCACCTTATTACACTGGAAGATTTCAGAATAGATGTGAAGGAGTTTAAAGAGAAGGTGCACTGTGAGACCGTGTGACAAGTTTAACGGTAGAAAACTGTAACCAACAGTTTCCATATATTACCTGTTCTAAGACATCAGCATCCCATCAATAGCTGACCATGTTTTCGAGTTCTGTGGCCCAAATATACAACATAATTTGACCAAAAATTCAATACTTTCATCATGTAAGTTAAACTTTAATAATAAACCAGCATAACTGTCAATAAACCATAGTAGTTACAGATTGAGAAGTATTTTCTCAACAGTTCTGGTCATTTGGACCCTAATTTAAAAATCTACTGAAATGAGTGTACTTCAGTGTAGGACAAGTTCATTTTTGATTCTGCAAAGCACTTCAGTATATGAGAAATCTCCCGAGTCTGACAGCACAGAACGATGCATAACGTGGATGAAAAATCACTCTTCTACCACTCATGCTAAGGAGAAAGCACTTTCCAACGATTACCATGTCACCATCTTCAGTAGTGCCTTTAGACTTTGTGCCTTTATGGTCTCCTAGAAGACCTTTGCTACCCACCTAGATGTTCAGCTTTTAAACTATAATCATGGGAAAGGGCACCTCATGGTCAAAATCTTTTTTCTTGCAACTAATGAAACAGCACATCTTTGCCTACTGATACTGAGTGCAATACCAGTAAGATACAAAATAGGCAAATTAATTTGTGTAGTGTATGTAAGAAATGGGTAACTTTTAAATCACCCAAAACAGAAGTGGGTAGGTTTTATTTACTTTCCTGAGTACTCTCTGGGTAACAAGGAATGTAAGATGCTTACAACCCCTTAATTCTTCCTGTTGGTCAATAGCATTTCTGAGCCCAGGATTTTGAGATTTCTTAGGCTGGCTGGCTAGCTATGGCAGCTACTCATTGAGTTAGTTAAAAGCTGCCTATTACATTTATTACAGATGACAAAGTCATCACCTAGTGTTTCACATTCTCCTGGAACGGGGGCAGAAAAAGGTGAATCACATTTATTTTAAAAAAAAATTAAATAAAAAGAAAGAAAGAAGCTACTCTCCTATATCAATGGAACATATATATGCAAACAACTGCAGTAATTTAGAAGAGTAAACTCTATTATACCTGTCTGTCCCCAGTGAATCAAAGATCTTAATAATTGTCATAATTATTATTAAGAGAAATTTAGGAAAAATAAGTTTTATTTCAGTTGACAGGGCTTTTTTTTTTTTTACTCGACAATCATCATCAAGGATGAGAACCACAACACAACAGCAACACTTGACATCTATAAAGTACCTTGTGGAGTTATTAAAATTATATATAACAGTAGGATCTGTCTCATGATCCCTCTTTGAGTGTCTACTGAGAGTATAATGCAGAACAGTGAGGTACAGAAAGTAACTGGATTGACCTGATTAACAAAGAGTTAATATTAGAGATGGGCAATAGTCTAGCCTAGTCTTCCATCATCCATGGTTTGTGCTCCATCAGAATAATCATAACCTATAAAAATTGTTAAACTTCCAAATGCCACATATTACAATCATGCAAGAATGCAAATGGCATAAAAGATGAATATTTATACTGAGGCACATGAAGATGAATGTCATATTGATGTACCTTTTTAAAAGCATTTTCAATTTCATTGCTTGCAAACATCATGCTAAACTGTAGTCGAACTCTGAATTTTTAAATTTAACTATTTTATGATAAAAACTGATTTAAAGAGGAAAAATAAAACCTGCATTGTGAATATTACAGGAAATTGTTTATTTTAGTGTCTATCAAATGCCTTTACAATAAAGGACTTGTTTTAAATAATTCGGAAACTTTTCTCAGTTTGAAAAACTTCACTAAATGCCTGTAATTACATATAAACTGCACATACATGAAGATACATGAGAATGTCAGACTAAATTTAGATAATGCTATGGAAGAACATCACATTGCTTCCTTGCTTTGCATTCCTTTGCAGTTTTAGATCATAGTACAATGGTAGGTACAAGTGAAATTCTGTATGCAGAGAGGAACTCTTTATTTCAAATAGAAAATATATTATTTACTGTCATTCCTCTTGCCATAAAAAGAAGAAAAACAAAATTAAAAGCAAACAGAAAATGCCTCTACTCAAAAATGACAGATAAACTTGCTTTAGAAAGGGGCTGTGGTGGAATGAAATGGATTTGAATCATCATTTCTCACCCCTGTTGATAGTGGTCCTTTCAAGTCAGAGTTTAGGTAGATTGATGGAGCTGTGTGGGGAAGCTTGAATGCAGTGGGCCCTCCCCCTATGTATCTGGCCTGTATAAACAGAAAATTTTAGTTTCTGTGCTAATAGAGCATTTTCCACGTGTAGTTATCAACACTGTTAAACAGTGTGCCAATTAAAACCATTCTTTTAGGCTGATCTGCAATTTAAAAAAATTAATTTTGAGGTATTCTTCAGCATGACAGACTCTTGCATTGAATGAGAGAATGAAATTCTGCATTTTACAATCCTTTTCCATCAAGGATTAGAGCCAGGCATCACAATAAGCATGGGCTCAGTCACTCTGCCTCCAGTGAGGAACTCCACCTTCAGCCTACCTCTGGCATTCAGCTGGCTGACTCTGCAAGGCAACACTGACATTCCTAGAGCTCACAGCAATCCCGTTACTGCTTTGTCAGGAATGC